CGGTGCTGGGGTTATCGTCCACGGGAGGGGGAGGGCTTTTGTCTGCTTGTCCCAAAGTCATGTTTGTGCGTTCGTGCGTCGAGGCATTGTACGCAGGTCGAGTCAAAGTTTGTTCGGAAATTGTGTTCGTGGGTGAAGTTGTTCGTGACTCGAGGTACCATTGTACATGTATTTATAAATGGCTTAACTTGAATTTTTTCTGTTAACATGCTTCACTCTTGTAATCATTCTATTTAGCATTTTTAGGGTGGTCGGCATTTAGCTTGAAAGAAGCAGATTTCTCACTGTTCGTTCAACAGCGGTATTATCGAAGACGGATACTATGCGAAATAGCTGAATGATGTCCTATTACATTATTGCGAGATATCCGTGTATTGTTTGTGATATTGTAAGAATAATGATAACGTAAAACTTAAAATAATCCTGACTTAGGATTAACGTGCAAGGTATTTCAACAAATATAAAATACCACAGAACCAACAGATTGAAGGAAATATTAATTTTCACTCGTTCAATCAAATCACACTTATGCATTGGATTTTGGATGAATCGCTACATCGGAAACAATGCGGGTATTGCCACCGCACGAAGAAACTCCGTTTTTGAAAACTTTCTTAAACTACAAGTATCGCATACTCTTAACCGTGTCCATTAAATTATTTTACGCATACTTAATACAATTTAATACCGAAGCTTTAATTAATTTCGCCGAAAACACGGTCAATACAATGCACTGTTCGAAGCGTGGTAAATTATTAAATGTAACTTGTATCGACTGACAGAAAAATACATAGCCAGTCAAATTGTACTGTACTATGTACTATTTTACAAATTGTATTACTTGCAAAATAATCCTTCTAATTGTTCAAATTTAATTAAATCACTTAGTTTTAAATACCTCTATAATGAATACGTGACCTTCTATATTGATACAGTAATGGAATCGTAAAATGTAGATAAAATAGACGAATAACTGTCACGGAAATGAAACATTTACATGTATACTGAATAACGTCTTTTCCAGTTGCTCAGTTTCACAAAATACGCACCATTAGAAAATGGTGGTATATTAATAAAAGTAATGTATGTATCATGTGACAGGAGACTACATTATCGACAGAGTGGAATTGTGTATTTAGTATTGTCCTAATTACGTCATAGTACTAAATCTTATACTGTAGAAAACCTATTTCACGTAATATAAGCAGTGATTCCATCTTGAATAGCTGTTCGTCTATATTAAAGGGTTTAGCGTGTCCATGCAGATGAATCTTAAATGCAGATAAAATATGCGAAAATTCTTGTCATCGTCAAATGAAAGATTGACATTATTATGGAAAACGTTTTCTGGCTATTCAAGTGGCCAATATCGATTAGCCATAAGCCATCCAGATAGCTAATAACTGCGATGAATCTCCACTGTAGTAGCAAATCACCGGTACCATCATCCGGTTACGTTTAAATCATTGCACTTTACAGAAGGTTCATCCAGTTGTTGCCAGATGAAGTAAGAACTTCACGACTTACGAAGGCTCATGGATCCTCGACAAAAAACGCCTGATGAATAATATCAGGAATAACAGTGAGAAAGAAAACATCCTCCACGTCAATTACATCGTGAAAATGCAACTTAATGTCTAAACATTTACACTGATGTTTTCACTCCTCATGCCTTTGAACGGAAAAAATCTGCAACTGTAATTACAACTGCCGTTCGACACTTCCCCAATTTTCAGCATTAATTTTTGTAACGTTGAAATAATCATTCATCGGCATCAACTCACAGTAGTTGACAGATTAATAAAACAGCTTCATAATTGCGATCGCTACACACGCAAGCCCAGCGTGAATGTATCGGTAACCTGGCAACGAACGAAGAAAAAGATTGCGTGCAAAATATTTTCCCTCGCCGGGAAAATTCTTATGTATATTTCAACTGCTGGCTATAAGAGTAATTACAGTAGGAGATATTCAGCCGTCTTCTCTGTGAAAAGAAAGCATAATTTATAGTGATGCAAATTAGTTCCTTCAGAATGTTGGTGAATTTGTACAGGTTTTAATACAAACTGTACAGATATCACAGACAGGAAATTGGTTCCTGAGTATTGAGCTTCGGGTGTTGAAGCATGGTATCCTCGATCATGTGCACCTTCTGCACCAACATTTCTACTCGTGATACGAGATACTCCTGCCTGCGCTGCATGTCGAACAAAAGTTCGTGCATGTCATTCTGTAGCTTTGCCACATCTACCAGTGCATTGCTTTCTTCCGCGACCTTTCGTTGTTCCCACTTGATGCGTTGAAATCTAAAGCACATATTAATATGACACTGTCGCTGGTTGGCTGAAGCTCCGTTGCTGATCTACTCGTTTATCGACGCCAAGAAACGTTTCTGATGGTAGCGCAATTTGAACTCATCTCGCGGCAGACGCAAGCAACGGTACTTGTGGATAAACCACGTGTGTTGTAGCACGGCTGCAGCAGCATGCTTCCGCTGAACAACACGAAACAAGATTAGACACAAACTCCCGCAGGCTTCAGTGTTACCTCTCGAGTAAGTTTCGAATCCGCCATGAAATTATTCACATGTTTTTCAGACCGACTAAGCTCGAGTTTTCGGCTTATCACAGCTATCAGAGCCGATGAGACACCGGCACCCTTCAAACAGGAAACTGTTAAATATTTTAAATAACAATACAGTATTCAGATAATACCAATCACGTTTATAAACCTAATCAGTTCATATAAAATTCAGTACAAAATTAAATTGATGGGCTGATTTCAATAATAGAAGAAATGGCTAGAACATAGAGCAAACTCTTTATCTCATATCATGGAGCATTTGGAACTTAAAACAATTTCAGTAACTATAATAATGCCCCGCTAACCCATCTCCGTACAAGTTAGATTCATTATTACGTTCTTTGTTATATGATGTTTTCGAGGGAACTCTAACTTAAGAACGCTAATAATAACCAAATCTTAAAACTTTCTACCATAGACTGCATTACGCTGAGACCACTGTATGTTTAACACTCTCGGCAGTGGACCGTCGTTCACCGCGGGTGAAGGTGCGCTCGAAGGCTGTCAACTTCAAGGCTATAAACTCTGCACGAATTAAACCAGTCTTTTCTCCAATGTCACCGGAAAAATACTTAACTGGCGGCTCTGAACCAAAACTACTCCTGCACTGGCTCGAATCATGCGAACTACTGCAAACAGCAGTTAAAACTTCCGAAGCTATCTCATCCTTCCCTTGAGGGAGACCGTGAGATACGGGGCAAAACATTGGTCCTGGTCAATCATCTGATTATCTGAATTATTTGCATCGTGTGTAAATAATCCGCATTTTGTGTTGTTTTCAATATGAGCAACAACGTACGTAAAAAATGTTCTGCAAAGATATGTTCCTGGTGAGAGCAACACCAATAGAATAAGCTGAAGAGCCTGATGGATGACTTCGCCAACATGATGACGTAATATTTCTTTACAGATGGAAGAATGACTATTACAGTTAACTAACATTTGCCTAATATTTTTGAATACCTACAATAAACGAACCCATAATCAAGCATCAAATATCAATAATTTGGGAAGTCAATGTTTGATCCTGACACCCCAGATGACGATGACAACAATAACAATTAACGAAACTACAAAAAAAGTACAATTGTAATTTCATGCTCAGCGATTGTACAATAGCGTAAAAAGCCAATAGGACATAAGCTTTTTTAGGCTACATTCGATAGTGTGATTCCTTCCTAGTGAATACACATCGGTGAAAACATTATTGTACTAGAAAATGTAAAGAAACTTGCTTACCACAATTCCGGTACTAATCGCCAACGCCCTGCCACAATATGTATGGGGCGTCACATCACCGTAACCAATGGACATGAAAGTTATAATAATGAACCATATCGAATTGGGATAATTTATAGAGTCCGGACGAGTGTTGTACCTAAATGCGACCACATCTGTTCTATAATCATAAAAAAGCAACTCCAAATTTCAGTGACTGATGAACTGCCAACTATGAAAGAAGACCGTAATGTATAAATAGGTCCTAAATTATTAGTTTGTGGTTACAAGTTAGTCGAGTTAAGTTGAGCATCAGTTCAATTAAAGACGCATTAAAGGGTATCTAAATCCCGAAAGTTTCCTGAAAACGTCTAATTTATAATGAGGATCAAACGTTTAAAAGTGCTCCTTTTTATTTCAAGCCTTAAACCAATTTGATTTTGAAGTCGATGCCAAGAAACTTAGTTTAGGTACCATTTTAAAAATACGCCACAGTGTTCTTCATTATGAAACGGAAAAATCGTTTTTCTCTGGTATCCAGAATAAAGAGTATTTACATCACAGAGGTCTACACAACCGACCCATAAGAGCTGTTTCCTTCCAGAAAACTTCATTTACGCTCACAGCAATGGAAAAGTATGGGAGGCACACTGGCCCATTGGCGTTTGGAATTTTAATTTTTGTTAACCACTGCTAGAAAGTCGTTGTTACTTCACTATGATGACTGGGCTATTTTGGCCCCCTGCTTCTATGGGTTGATTGCGAAGTGCGGATCTCCGTTTCTACGCCATAAACCAGTGGAATGCCTCATTTTAAAAGCAGGGTCTATGACCATGAGGTAAGCGTGGCGTTTAGTCTCCTATTTCCATCCCTCAGTGATATTCATTTATAAAAGAAGAAGGGCCAGTGACCCTGACCAGAACTTGAACTGAGGACCTGTTGATTCTGAGTTCGACGCCCAATCGACCGAATGACGCCGGTCTGAAACAGTGAGGTAAATTCTTTGTTGAAGGAAATTTGTGAACAGGACAAAGATTGCCCTCGATGGAATCGAAATCAGCACCGCACGAATACGAAGCAGACCTCTTAGACACGACACCAAAATGCCATTAGCGCCTCGAGACTGTGCATGAGGATCAGAATTTTCCGAAAGTGCTGCGGCACATTTTCAACGGTTTCAAGATCAGAGATTTCTCAGCACAGCTCAACAAGCAAACGATCGGGCTACAGGAAAAGAAAGAACAGAACTGAGTCAAGCCGATCAGAAAATGAGACGACAATACCTGGCGGTCGCTAACCTTCAAGTATACAGTATCCAAGAAAACGTCCCTGCATGTCCTACGTGAGGCTTCGCATCCAGCTTGCTCAATGCGAATTCCATCGAAATATAGGAGAAAAACAGCATGGTCTATGCTATGTGTTGAAAATGCGGCGCTACGCACATTACGCAAATCGGCAACAGCAATGAAAATATGGAAAAGTATCGCAAGTACACCACAAGATGAAACAATGCTGATCTAAGAGAACGTGGGCAAGATCGAAAACGAAGTGGGGACAGCAGATGAAGGAGCCGACGACAGTAACGAAAGAACTGTCGCAGAGAATGAACAAGCAGTCAAAGAGTGCTTGTCAATCACCGGAATAGAATGAAAAGGGAATGACGCAAAAGGAAGCAACAAACGTAGAAGATTAAATAAGTATTCCTGGTAGAGCGATGCGAAAGTCACAACAGACACAAGGCGAGGACGTCTGAGCAAGTTAGAAACAAATAACCCAGCTGCTTGGAGGTAGACCAGCCTAAATGACATCTAAATCTAACAGCTTCAGCGTTTGGTTGATCATGCTTAAATGTTCACAAGATTCACAGTGAGCAACTAAATGTTACATTGTTTTGGCATGCTGTTTCTACATAATATACCCTTGAAGATGGATCAAGC